GATAAAGAACTGTTATCCAAAATATAAAAATAACACTTCAAAATCAACAATCAGAAAACAAAAACTCAGTTTAAAAATGGGCAAAAGACCTGAACAGACACCTCACCAAAGAAGATATACAGATGGCAAATAAGCATATGTAAAGGGGCTCCACATCATATGTCATTAGGAAAGTGCATGTTAAAACAATGAGATACTAGTATATGCCTATTGGAATGGCCAAAATTCAAAACACCAACATTACCAAATGCTGATGAGGATGTGGAGCAATGGGAACCCTCATTTACTGCTGGTGGGAATGCAAAATGGTGCAGCCTCTTTGGGAGGGAGTTTGGTAATTTCTTAAAAAACTCAACATACTCTTACCATATAATCCAGCAATTGGGCTCCTTGGTATTTACCCAAGGAATTGGAAACTTATGTCCACACAAAAACCTGCACATAGGGTGTTTAGAGCAGCTTTATTCACAATTGCCAAAACTTGAGAACAACCAAGATGTCCTTCAGTTGGTGAATAGATAAACTGTGGTATATCCAGACAATGGAATATTATTTTGTGCTAAAAAGAAATCAGCTATTAAGTTATGGAATGAGGAAATTTACATGCGTATTAATTACTAAGTGAAAGAAGGCGACCTGAAAAGGCTATATATATATTCTGTGTGATGTTCTGGAAAAGCTAAACTATGGAGACAGTAAAAAAATCAGTGGTTGCAGGGCACCTGGATGGCTCAGTCAGTTAAGCATCTGCTTTCGGCTCAGGTCATGATCCTGGAGTCCCAGGATTGAGCCCCTTGTTGGGCACCCTGCTCCACGGGGAGCCTGCTTCTCCCTCTGCCTGACGCTTGTGTTCACTCTCTGTCTCTCTCTCAAATAGATAAATAAAATCTTTAAGAAAAAAAATCAGTGGTTGCTAGGGTCAGGGAGAGGGAGGGATGAATAGGAGGAGCAGAGAGTATTTTCAGGGCAGTGAAACTGCTCTGTTCAATATTATAATGGCGGATACATGTCATTATACATTTATCAAAACCCAAAGGATGTACAACACCAAGAGTGAACCTTAATGTAAACGATGGACTTTGGGTGTGCCAATGTAAGTTCATCAGTTGTAACAAATATACCCCTCTGGTGTGGGATGTTATGGGGGGACGCGGTGAATATATAGGAGCAGGAAGTATATGGGAAATCTCTGTACTTCCTGCTCAATTTTGCTTTGTGTTCTGTTCCCTGAGAAAGACTTTTAGCAACTTAGATGCTGGTCTCTAGGGCCATTGTAGCCTCATCCCTGAATGCCACTAAGGTTTGGTGTGCACTTTTTACCTTCTCTGTAAGACCTAATAGTTCTGTCTCTATTTTCCCTAGACTCCAGCTCAATTCCCTGCAAGTAATAGGAGAACAATGAAGATTTTGTAAAATGACAAGATAGATGTCATTTAACTCTCGACCCAGTGATACCCCAGTTGAACACTAGTGATTACTCTAAATCATCATATACCTACTATGTGCCATATATGGTCCATATTAGCACTATCCAACAGATATATAAAGCAAAGCACATACAAATTTTATATTTTCAGTAGTCAGATTTTTTTTAAAGATTTTATTTATTTGTCAGAGAGAAACAGAGAGCACAAGCAGAGGGAGCATCAGGCAGAGGGAGAAGCAGACTTCATCCCAGGACCCTGGGATCATGACCTGAGCCACAGTTAGACACCTAACCGTCTGAGCCACCCAGCTGTCCCCAGTAGCCAGATTTTTTAAAGTTAAAAGAGATGAAATTAACTTGAGCAGAATATTTTATTTAACCCGATAGATGCAAACTATTGTCATTTCAACATGCAATCAATATAAAACTATTAATGAGACACTACATTTTTGTGTACTGTCTTCAAACTCTAATGTTGGTTTTAATACATATCATATAGTTCAATTTGGATTAGCCACATTCCAAGTACTCAGTAGCCACTTGTAGCTAGTGGTTACTGTACTGGACAGGGCAGTTGTATACAGTATTTTATTAAATCCTCTAAGATGACTAAGAATAATAGCAAAATTTTGAGTGGCAAGCATTCTAGAAGAACATCTCATCTACCCTCCTAACAACCTTCATCTGTAGATGAGGAAACGGACCTAGACTGCTCCTCTGTGGCAGGGTTGCGTCTGGAATTCCTGCTCTGAGGCTACCAGGTCAGGCCACTGATTAACTGGGTGGTCTTGAGCAAGGCAGTTCTCTGCATTTTAGTTCTCTCTTTCACAAAATGGGAAGAGAGTTGCACTGGATCAGCCAGAGTAAATCTTCCTCCTTATTTCCTAGCATCTGGTGAGCCTGGCTCTCCTGTTCCCATCCGTGAGGACCTCAGGTTTACAGGCTTCCTTCTCTGATCTGAACAGCGGGCTCTTCCTAGCCCAGACTTCGCTGGCTGGGCCTGGCCGGACTCTGTACCTACAAACCTTGCAGGAGGATGAAGTCCCTCCCATACCCCAAAGCAGTGCGGTGTTTTCATTTGAGTTTCTTCTACTTCCGGCAGAGAGTTCAGCTTCAGCTTCTTGATGCTTTTTTGAAAGAAAAGAAACTTGTCGTCTGGGCACTCGGTTTTAATTTTGTCTTCTTTGTTCTTAGGCATGTTGTAGAAAGCTCCCCTCTCCCAAGGATATTCTACTATATATTTCCATAATTTTCCTGCTCTCCCTCTCCAGAAAATGCAAAGAAAATAACTGTCAACTTTTTTGCATATATAAATTTTAACAGCCCATACATGTCAACTGATCTTTTATCCAGGAAGGAAAGGCTTAGTTCAAGTGATTGAAAGTTGAAATGCTTAGGTTTTCATTCTCATTGTGTAACGGAGCACTGTGTGGACATGCTACGTTATGATTAGTTTATCAATTCCATTCCCCAAATCCACTAACTCTAATGAGTGCTTACTATGTGCAAGGGCAGAGTCCCTATTTTCAAGGAATGTATCTTTTACCAGGAAGAGTAAGGCAAATCTTCAACCAAGGACAGCACAAAGTAGATAAATTGTGCCAAGTGCCTTAAAAGGGGTGCAAAGTACAGTTGACCCTTGACCAACCAGGTTTCAACAGCATGGGTCCACTTATCTGTGGATTTTTTTTTTCTATAAATATAGTACAGCACTCTAAATGTATTTTCTCTTCCTTATGATTTTCTTAATGACATTTTCTTTTCTCTAGCTTACTTTATTCCAAGAACAGTATATAAAGCATAGACAAATTAAATGTGAATTGACTGTTTATGTTATCAGTAAGGCTGCCAGTGAACAGTAGGCTATTAGTGACGTTTTGGGGGGAGTCAAAAGTTACATGTGGATTTTCGACTGCACGGTGGGTCAGCGCCCCTAACCCTTGTGTTGCTCAAGGGTCAACAGTACTAAGTTCAAATATTTGGTTTGGGGTAAATCAGAGAAGGTTCCACAGAAGAGTTGCCTTTCAGAATGGACCTTGATAGGTAGGGTTTCAGTAAACGGAGAGGGCAAGAAGAGCATTTGGGGAAAAGACGCATAGGCACCTGTCCCTGTCTCCCGCACTACAAGCAGGAAGAAGCGTAGGAGGCAGCACGTGGCTTGGTCTGAGGATTACACAGGGATTGCAGCGATTATGTAAGGATGTAAGGCAGTTTGGCAAACTCTGCATGAGTGTCACACTCCCAATCCTCCACCCATGGGAGACGACATTAATTAATCACAGCCCACACCTTTCCAACCAACCTCAGGAGCTCCTTCATGAGATAGATCAATTTGCCATCCCTGGTGCAGGAGTGTGGAGATAAGTGAGGTAGAGCCTTGAATACCGTGTTGACTAGTTAGTAGTTAATTGGATAGGCAATGGGGAGCCATTAAAGTCTTGTAAGCAGGGGAGTGACATGGTGGGAAATGAGAGCTGTAGTTCAGGGTAATTAACTTGGCAGTGTTATTTGGGATGGATTAGAATGGTTATAAGACTGAAGGCCAGTTATTTGGAAGGTTACTGTAATGGTGTAGGTGAGCAATAATGTCTGGAACTGGAGTGGTGGCTGTGGAAAGAAGGGACACAGGTCACAGAGGTAGAATTTAAAGCACTTGGCAAGTACGTGAAGATGTGGAGAGCTAGGGCCAGTGGTGAGAAAGAGGAGTCAAAGCTCACTCAGAGGTTCCCAGGAATTACCTTGGAATAAGAGAAAACAAACCATCTTGTTACCATCAAGAGGGGAGCGTGGGATTGGCCGGGAGGGAGGGAAGAGTCTTGGAGAATTTGGGGAGGGAGAGAACAGTCTGCAAAAAAATGGATTTAGGTTTATCTCTTCTACAAAGCATAGATTTTCTAAGCCATCGTCTGTCAGAGAACTCAGTAGTGCAAAGTAAAATAACCATTTTTAAGCAAACACTATTGCCCTTTGTCAACGAGCAGAGCCTAAGGAAGGCTTCCATCTTTCCAAATATTTGAAAAATTGTTAAGCTTTAATTAGTAAGCAGGCAAGGGGCATGAGGGAAGTAAAATATATAAACCTAATCACTGTGCTTTCCAGGTTTCAAATGCTTCCCCAATCCGGATAATTTACACTTTAGTAACAATGACTGACAGTCAAGGAATGTATCTAACTCACTTTTATTTTTCCCTTGGGGAAAGCACTTTCGGTCCCAATTGTTTTAAGTTGCAGAAGCAGTAATTGTTTTAGAGAGTTAGGAGGAATGGCTTTTTGGAGCTGGAATTTACTGCTGAAGGGAATATGGATTCTATCTTAATTGACTAAGGTCACTAGGGCCATTTCCAGGAAGGTCTTTCCAGGGTGAACAAATACCAGCTTAGAGAACAGCAAAGGAACCAATTGAAGGCTCAGGGGAATAGACTTAACCAGAAAAATGTTAATGAGTTGCTACTGGTACCTAAAAAGGAGCCAGGGGTATGTTTTGAGCCACTTGTATCCCAAATAGAATTATTGGTGAAATTTAATATGAAAAATGGTTTAAAAATATTTTAAAATAAATATGGAGCAGTGGATATATTTTGAGATATTCACTTCCCCAGAGGCACTCGCTTATTTATTAAACTGTGCATTTTGATATATTTGTTTACTTAGAAAAGTCAAGAGTGACAAGATAGGTCAATTGTATCAAGAACATTATTAACAGGCTAACCAATTGTAAATGGTGTGAAGGCTGTTCTGGAAATCTGTGCTTTGATGTATGGGGAAACCCACACATCTGATTTGGGATGGAGGAGACAATCGTGGCTTTGTTTGTAGGCGCCAACAGACAGGCTAAAGCCAGGGATCCTTGCAGAGACTGGATTAAGGTATCAGAACCGTTCACATCTCATTTACATCACTCCGAAGAGTGGACCACAGGTTTTGCTGATTTAACACACAGACCATGGCAAATAGCATTGTGTATCTGAAATCAGACCAAGATCAGTAACAGTAACACAAACCATGTGTGAAGTTTGGCATATAGAGGTTCCTCTTAAGCAATTATCTAACTAGGTCCCCCCTCCCACCTTATTTTTAAAAAGCCTTTTTCCAAACCAGGAAGGTAGAAAAAGCAAAATGTTCCCTACTTCTTTCTCTCATCCCAACCCCCTAAATACACATATTTATGCCACCTTCTGGTATATAATAATATTTTTTATCGTCAAAATTTGTGAGCTTTCTGAAAGGAAGGTGGGGGTGTGTGTTAAAAATGTACTGATTTCATCAGTGTCTGGGCAGGCAAAAAGAACTGGTGAATTGAGTATTGAGGCAGAGAAGTCAGGCTACTACCACCTGAATGGTTTCCACTCATTCAATTTGTATTGTCCCTTCATATTGGAGTTTGGGGTCAAGGTAATACTGATGCAATTCTCTACTTTCCTTGGATTTCATTAAACACCTACTGTGTGATGGGTATGTTTCAATGGAAGGGAGGTGCAGAATGATGTCTACAATGATGTGACTTATTAGGAGCTGTTAATTATCTGAATTCTATCATCCAGACATTATTAATGCCTCTTCAGTATATCTTTTATGGATGAGACTGTACATTTAATAGCAAAATGACCAGTGGATATTGACAATTAGCAGCCACACAGAAACTAGATGCAGTGTGGCATATTTCAACCAGCTTAGATAGTCGTCAACCAAACAGGCCAAAGTTTTCTTCAGTAGAAACTGCCCTGCCAAGTGGTTTCTGGATCCTTCTCAGAGGAAACAGCAAAGCGGCTGAAAGCCACCTCTTTCAACCACACCAGAAATTGGCTGTCCATGGCGATTCTAGACCCAAAATCTGTTTTAGACACAGATGTATCAAACTAAGTCTGGAAACCCACTGGACGTCCCATCCCGAAGTAAGAAGTGCCACGTCCCCCCTTCCTTGGGGTGTCGGCCCAGGTCGAATTCCTTTTTATTTTCTCCTCAGTCCTGGGGTGGGCTGGCAGGGAGCTACCTGAGATTCCCCACCGTGGATGATCGCATTTGTCTCTTCTCACGCCGCCTGCAGATGGGGACGAGTTCTGTTCCCGAGAGAGTCTCAGAAGTAGGCACGGAATCATCTCGCTGATCTTAATTTTGTCCCTGGGCTGGGCAAAGGGGAGGATCAGGGCAAGAGAGCCTCTCCCCTCCTGCCCCCCTCCCCCCCCAATTGGCAGCCAGTCGGTGGCTCTCGGTCTGGGGTCTGGAGGGTGGGGAATGTGGGTGTGGGGGCCGGCTGGAGAAGCTCTCGCTAGCGCTGCCTGTGGCCAGACCCGCCTCCCAACCCCTCTCGGGCGCACACATACGTCCACCCAGACACACTCCGCGCGCTCCCTCGCGCTCTCGCTCGCCCGCCGCCGCCTGCTCTCTCCCTCCTGCTCTCCCTGGTCTCTTTCTCCCCCCTCTTTTTTTTTTTTTTTTTTTTTGGTACCATAGAGTTGCTCTGAAAACAGAAGATAGAGGGAGTCTCGGAGCTCGCCATCTCCAGCGATCTCTACATTGGGAAAAAACATGGAGTCAGCTCCGGCAGCCCCCGACCCCGCCGCCAGCGAGCCGGGCAGCAGCGGCGCAGACGCGGCCGCCGGCGCCAGGGAGACCCCGCTGAACCAGGAATCCGCCCGCAAGAGCGAGCCGCCCGCCCCGGTGCGCAGACAGAGCTATTCCAGCACCAGCAGAGGTAGGAGGCTGCGAG